ATACGTAGGATATTATCGCTTTTCTTAAACAATTAATAATACGCATCATATGTTAAAATTCCAAAAGCTATTATCGTTGTAGCTCAATTAAATTGACACGTTAGAAACTGACCTAGGATAGGTTGTTTTAAATTACCTTCAAAATATTTTATAATTAGTTAAATTAAAAAAAGCTTATAATATTAGCAGTATTTCATTAAAGAAGCTCGCGATAAGGGAAGTTTGCAGCCGTATACTCGTGTTAACATTAAACTCCTGTGGCGCGATCTTACAGAAGTTATGTGATGTTAGATAACAACTTACCTAGCTCTTTGATAACTTACTTCGCAAAGTATACTTTTTATTGCACCTTTACTTTATATCGCCATTCTACAAATGGCTTGGAAAAGTTCTAAATAATTAAAGCACTTCGAAGACGTTGTTTGTATTATCAATAGAAGAAACCCGATGCAAGTAAATTAAATTGTTTTATTAACCTTGTTTGGGAAATTTTTTGCCTAGAGTCCGTGGTAGACATATAATCTTACTCTAAATGTAGCTCGAATCTTTTAAGAACGCCGCTTAAGAAACGTAATAAACTTCACAAACCAGCTAAACATAGCAACTTATATTTTCTACAATACACACCTCTGAAAGCTCACTGCCGCCTCTGGAAAAAACAGAGGATTTTCCTCTGCGGCGCTTTAATTGAATTCGCTTTGGCTCACTTTTAATTTATTTACGTTTCCCCGTTTGATGTCGACTCGCGTCGCCATGTTTTTAGATAAATAACCAATTATCCCGATTCAATTTAATCCCGGCCGACGGCGGCGTGCGATCTGGAATTTAAAATGTATATTACCGGCGCTAGCGGTGGCTTAATAGGCGGTTGTCGTTCCCACCGCTCGATACCATACACACGTGCACAGCAATCTACTTGTAATCATGTTTAATTGAGACTGAAATTGTTTCAACTCGATGTTAAACTGTGCGCCGTGACTTTTGTTCGAATCTAACTAACTACACGTTCTATCCATTCATTAGTTGAAATCTTAGATAAAACACGGGTTGGAAAATATAATTTCAAGAAACAAATATGCATAATTAGGATATAAGATGTTACTGAATGATATTAAGTAAAATTCTTAATCCTATGACAGAGAAAATAGTTATGATATTCCAAAGTTATACTAAAATAAACACTTTAATATAAAAGCAAATGAGTAATTAAAACAGTCAAGTACATTATACTCTCTTCATCGAATATTAAAACACCTATACACACAAGATAATGAATGTTTTCGCAATAAAGCTGCATTACGCGAGAATGCAAATTTCGAGAGTAATAACGAACAAATTAATTTATTCACGAACTAGTTGGTGTGCTGTATCTTTATTGACTCGCAGCGCAATATCTACAGCCGGGACCGTTTCGATTCTGATTAAAACGCGCGTACGCCTGTAGGCTCAACGAGCCACGAGTTCTGCAAACATACGAAGATCCTCGCCGAGTCGGATTCGCAACACATACCTAATAGGCTTCGCGATTACGCCGACAGGGCGCGCCCCCACTAACCCAATTTGTGCAAAACGACCGGGTAAACATACTTCGATTGTACGCTTCACGTAGATTTATTGCACGATCGTAAAATACTCTACGTACTCTATGTGAAAATTCCCAAATTGATTGAAGTAGAGCACATATTGCTAGAGTCCCTTGTGTGAGGTTGATTTGCTTTTATATTGTTTTCGAACTATTGGTATTTGGGAAAATATGCGTCTTTTTGTGTTGAAGTCTTGATTTTAGCTATTGATTTGATGTAAATTCACGGAGACGAGATAGACAGACTTCCACTCTATTAGAATAAAATGAAAAAATGGACATATTAATGTAATATACCACTGAAACATGTCACAGATTTAGATGAAGATATTTAGCAAACGTGCTCTGACCTTACAATTATAGTAGGTACCACTGTTGCAGTTGTGACAAGCCTATCATATGCATAACTAGCTGCCATCTAAAATAGACTATTCCGCAACTTCTGTAACGTCGCAGGAAATCAATCGTAATAAATCTTAGAAATAAAAACACTGTTAAACCCCACACTATTTATTCCCGCGCCTACAAATTCAAAATAGCAAATGATATTCTTTTACTCACAAAACCTTTTTCATGTCAATAAACAAAAGTTCCGAATTGGAATAAAATCCCCAAAGCATTTTCATATAATAAATAGGTCAAGAGAAATATATAAGTATCTAAAGAGAGCTAACTCGTCTACAATCGAATTGCGACCCAAATTCGGTTACGATAAAAACTTTCTGCCGTAGTTTATAGTGCTTTTGTATTCCGATGAGTAGCTCACTTGTTTCACTTTCTTAACACCGACTGAATCCCTAGTGCAAATTTTTAAACTTACTGTTAAGTCCACCACTGCTCGTAGATGAATAAAAAGGAATATTAAAATAAGTACAATAAAGCAGTTTGTCTTCAGAAAAGTGTTTAGGAAAATAACAAGCTCATTCCAATTCTATTTTTTATAAGTAAGAGAATAATAGATTAGGAAAAATAGCCGTTTCTATGTAGGTAATTTGTAATAGTATGAAATCAGGGACAAAGGACCTCAATTTACTTGATTACAGTTACAAACTACTAACAGTCTCGCTTGTGACCGCTCTTCACTAACTAGCCGATTGTCGTTCAGATGTCTAAGAAGAGAAGCCTCTAATTTGCTTAATTTGTAACTGAAGTGTAGTAAAGAGTAAAGTGAAGTTAAAGTTGTGTTTAATAGTTGTATGTAAAATGGAAATTTAAAAAAATATATTTGAATTAATAACTATAATATTGAATATAAAGGCATAATCTATGCCGATGGCGAGCACCGAACATAAGGCCACG